CTGCCATCCTCCGAGCACCCTCACGCTGCTGAGCAAAACGCTGCGCTCGCCTCTGCCTCGGAGAACAAAGCGTCTCGCCGGGCACAGAGGAGAGAGAGGCAGCACATCCATGAGCACAGAGTCCCCCCAAAATGCATGGAATGAAGGATATCATCGCCAGCTGGAGCAGCATCGGGCTGCAAACGGCTCCTGAAGGAGCAACTCTGCAATTCCCCAGCCTCCAACTCACCAGATCCCCCACGACTCAATGCCAGAGGATAAGGAGAGGGGATTGCAGCAGCTGCCAGGAAAAAAACCCTACAAATATCCCCAGGCTTAGGAAGTGAAGCCACTAGGCCCTGGCACTTGCTTGGGGGTGACATGCCCAGCTGACATCTTTAGAAGTGGACACAGCTACACAGAGAGTGGGAACAGAACAACTTCAAGCACGGACAGARGGACCTGTGCTGGGGAAGGGGAGCGTGGAGTGACAGGGGGACTGTCCTGAGGGATGGCCAAGGGATTGAAGGTGTGTCTGAGGGATGGAGGAGCCGTCCCTGGAGATGAAGGGTCTGTCTCAGGGGATGGAGGGTCGGTCTCAAGGGATGGAGGGTTGGTCTCAAGGGATGGAGGCTCTGTTCAAAGGAACAGTGCTCAAGGGGACAGAGGGTCTGTCCAGGGGATGGAGGAGCTGTCCCTGGGGATGAAGGGTCTGTCTGAGGGGATGGAGGGTCAGTCTCAAGGGATGGAGGCTCTGTTCAAAGGAACAGTGCTCAAGGGGACAGAGGGTCTGTCCGGGGGGATGGAGGGTCTGTCCAAGCAGACGAAGGATCTGTCTGAGGTATGGAGGAGCCGTTCCTGGGGATGAAGGGTCTGTCTCAAGGGGTGGAGGGACTGTTCAAAGGAACAGTGCTCAGGGGGACAGAGGGTCTGTCCGGGGGGATGGAGGGTCTGTCCAAGCAGACCAAGGGTCTGTCTGAGMGGACGGAGGATCCATCCACGTGGACAGAGGGCAGAAGTGCCACCACACACCTCGAGAGGAGCCAGCGGGGCACACCACCCTGCAGGTCCCCATGCGGAGGCTGACACCCGCGTCACGCTGTCCCACCGGACCGTCCGGTCCCGCGCACCCGCCGCCCCTCGCCGCGATCCCCGGAGCATCCTCGGGGGTGCCGGTACTCACCGCCGGGCCGGGCCGGGCCGAGCAGCTCCCGCGGGGCTGCGGGCTCAGAACCAACCCCCGGCCGCGCCCGCCGCCCGCCCCTCGCCATCACCGCCCACCCGCCCCGAACGCCGGTGGCGAGGGGCGGGCGGCGGGCGCGGCCGCGCTCGGGCTCTCCCCTCCCGCAACGAGCATCATCCCTTTCGGATTTAAAAAAATTAAAAAAAAAAAAAAAAAA